ACCACAAAAAAAAAAAAAAAAAAAAAATATTTATAGACATGTAAATTATCTTGAATCACCAAGATGTGCTTGCAGAAGAATAGGATAGTATCAGTTGGCCTACTAAATATCAAGGTTTATTCTAAAGCTGTAGTAACCAAGGCACTTGTCACTGGTATAGGGATGAACAGATAAACTAATGGAACCAAATAGCCAGGCCAAATTGCATCCATACATCTATAGATACTTGATATCTGTATTTAAAAGACAACTTTTAAATAAATGATCCTGGAACAATTGAACATATAATAAAATTTAGATCCCTACCTTTGACTCTGAGAAAAAACCACCAAACCCATCAATTCTAGGGAGATTAGTGACATAAGCGAAAAGAAGAACTTTTAACGCCTTGAAAGGGTTTGGAAGATAACACATATAGAAGAATATTATCAGGGTCAAGAAAGGTTTCTTAAAGAGGATGTAAAAAGAACTAATGGAAAAGATACATTAGACTGCATTAAAATCAAGAACTTGAATTTATCAAAAGATACTATAACAAGAGTGGACAGATAGTTCCAGAGTAAGAGAAGATACTGTGTTTGCAATATCCATCTGTGATATAGTACTGAAAATGCATGCAAAACTAATCTGTAACCTTTACTTTTGGTGGCGGGAGATTGTGATGGGGAAGGAATGCATAGGCTGTGTGTGATTTCAGATGTCCTCATTCTGGAGAGAACAGTGTTCTTTAAAATGAACATGTTTTATGCATTTTTCTGTAAGTAGGCACAGTTGTTAAAAAGAGGAAGAAATTAAAACCGTAAAAATATTGTACACTTATTGATTGATTATATTACTTGGCGAGGGCTACCATAACAAAATATCCCAGAACCACAGACCAGGTATTGTATTTCTTCTTTTATTTAAGTTTACTGGTGCAAGTTAGGTGTACATAATGACTGCATTCATTATAGGGAATTTGTATCTGTACACGATAGATCTTGATTCCTGTTTTTCCCCATTCCCATCCCCTCTTTTCAAATCCCCTCCCCCTCCTTATTCACAAAGCTCAGTTTTCATTTTATCTGCTTTTCTCATTTTTTCTTTCCCTTTGTTCCTTTCCCCTTCCTCTCCCTGTTTCCCTTTTCCTTTTTTTTTTTTTTTGGTTTTTTTCTGGTACCGGCAACCGAACTCACGACCTTGCGCTTGCCAGGCAGGCGCTTTTGCCGCTCAGCTAAATCCCCAGCCCCTTCCCTTTTCCTTTTCAACAGTTTCTTCCTGTTTCACAATATCTGTTGTACATTTATGTTCTTCTTTACATACTCAGTTTCTCACCCCAGAGAGAATGCGGCATTTACACGTGTTCCATTTATTTCACTTATGATTATGGTGTCGGGGTCCATCCATTTAGCTATAAATGTCTCAGGTTTATCTTTATGGCTAATACTCCATTATATTAAAAAGCCACATCTTCTTTATCCATTCATTTGTTAATGGACATTTGAGTGGCTTCCAAGATTGAGCTATTACAGACTGTGCCGCTGTAAACATGGGTGCGCATATATCACTGTGGTATGATGCTTTTAATTCTCATGGGAAGATACCTGAAGGGGAATAACTGGGTCAAGTGGGACCTCCAATCCTAGTTTTTTGAGGAATCTCCACACTGATTTCCACAGTGGTTGTACCAGTCCACACTCCCACCAACAGAAGAGGGGTATGCCTTTTTTTCCCCACAGTCCCTCCAGCATTTGTTACTAGTGGTTTTCTTGGTCAGACCAGGTATTTTGAACAGAAGTTCACTTTCTCCTGGTTCTGTTGCCTGGAAGTTCAAGATTACGGTGTCAGATTTGGTTCCATGTCAGGCTCTGTTCTTGGCTGGCAGATGATGCCTTCTTGCTGTGTCCTCACATGGCCTTCCCTGTGGGAATGGAATGTCCCGGTGTTTCTTTGTGTGGCCAGATTTCTTCTTTTTAAGAACGCTAGTCAGGTTGGTGTAGTGCCGACCCTTCAGGGTATCATTCTAATGTAGTCACTGCTTTAAAGGTTCTGGCTCCAAATATAGTTACGTTCTGAGTTACTGGAGGTTAGGACTTTATCATATGAATGTCAAGTGGGCAAGTTCAGCCTGTAGCACTGATTATGTAGTAAAGATCTTGAATACCACATAGGTCCTTTTGGTTTTGATAAAATTTCCTTAGGCAATTTTAGGATTCAGAAAGTGCCATCTCTAAAAATATGTTAAGACAGAAGTAAAAATGTGCTCTAGAAATAGTGTTAACTGACTCAAAATATGAATTTAGTGTTGATGTTAGTTATACATGTATGAATTTGGAATACAATTGCTTTTTTAAAATTGAAAATTTTGATTAAAAGCACTTTCTCCCATCATACCAAGTAAATCTAGGGGTGGCCAGCATTGGATGGAATTGTGGTAGGGACCCTACCTCATACCTAGCTACCTCTGGTTGAACCCTTTTGGTCCCTGCATTCTTTCTCTTTCCAGCTCATTTTCTGTCTTAGTACGTATTTATAGTACGTAATGTTTGTGTCCCTTGTGGGGAGTTGGTGTGGGTACATAGTGCGTCTTAATCCTTTTTCATCCCTTCTCCCTTTCTTCCTTTGTAACCCACATCTTCCTTTTGTTGTCGTACATATTGGTAGTACATAATGTTTACATTCTTGATGTGGAACTGGTACATGTACATAATGCATTAGAATCTTTTCTCATCTTCTTTCCCCACTTCCCTTCTTCCTATAATTAGATCTTTTAGTATCCAAACCATTCCTGACATTTATAAATTGTATTTGGCCAAAACATGTTTTACAAATTTCACTGGGAGAAGAGAGGTTCGGTTTCCTAATTTTAGGATAGTGAGCTCTGCTATAAGGTAACATCTACAGTTCTAAAGTCACTTCAGGATATAAAGCCATGTAATAAAAGCACAGGTCTTACGGAAAGATGGAGCCACAGCACTCAGAAACTTTGTCGATAACACTTAAAAGGATAGTAGCCTAATAAAATGGCAGTATAGTTTTATGTATGTTACATGGTTAAGAAATACAGACGTGATAAGTGTTGTACTTTCCCTTGAGAGAAGCGTCTTGTGAAAGGGGCTATCAGAAGGGTTACACATTGTGAGTGATGGAAGAAGTGATGGAAGTGTAAAGTGATGGAAGAAGGTCTCTACAATTGGAGGGAAAGTTGTAGCAATGTGTGCATTGGCATGATTGAGATCACGCATGGTAGACTCAGGGAGCTAGGAGATATTTGAGTGTGTGTGGTGTGTATATTCCTGCATGTCTCGGTTTACCAGGGTACAGTTTTCTTTGTTTATCTAGGGTTTCTTGCAGGTGAAATCATGCATAAGAAACACAAAATGCTTGTGGTTACTTAATGTATTAATTTTGTTGGAACAAATTTATGTTTTTAAATAGCATTACAGCAGAACTTTTTGTAGTTTGTGTTTTATGTTAGTCTCAGTCCCATCTTATCATGTGCATGTTTCATAAGGATTCTGAATTAGGATCTTTTTACTGGTGTTTTGAAATAATTTCCTAATATTTGACTACTACACAACACTTTGTCTTGGTGAATGTTCTTTCCAGGCTAAAAAAATTAGTGATTTAAATTTTGCATGCCTGTATCTTATAATCTGAGCAATTACTTTGAAGATAACAACATGCAGTATAATAACCGTTATTAATTTCCTATCATCTTGTTTTGAAATTCTGTATTGTTTTTATTTTTTTTCCCTCTTTAAAATAAAAAGAATTAGTGATTTAGATGTAGAATCAGAGTTTTGCTTCAGACCAGTCAGTGTGATACACGGAAAGCATCAGTGCTTTCGTTCCAAGGTAGCACATTATCTTCAGGGACCTCTACTTTCGGTACTGCTGCCAGGGTGCCTTTCATTCTTAACTCGAATCAGTCTGAAAGAAAGTGTGTGGTTACGTTTTGGGGGTTCTTGTAACACACGTGCTGCTTTTACCAACTGTGGCTGTTTTACTCCAAAGGTTAGCAGCAGCAGGTTTCCAGAGCAGCGTCACTTCTGTGCCTCTGTCCCTCCACTAGTCTGTTCGTTTGGTAGCAGGAGTGGTAAAGGAAGTGCTTGTTTTGCTGCCCTTTTGTACTGTCTGTTCACTTCCGGGACTCACGGTCATGTCCTGGTCCGTACAGTCAGCTCTTCTGCAGCATTTCCATTTCTCTCCTACAACTACCTTTCCACGTCTGCAGTGCTCTGCGTGCTCATTCCCACGCAGCACGTGTCATGAATGCAGTTTTGCAGGGCTGAGTTTTCCCTCTAATAAACTGCATACTTTTTGATGGCACGGACCATATCTTTACTATCTACATTTCCACTACATATCATAGCCCTCAACACTGCTGCGTGAGCGATTAGATGGAAAAAATAGAAGGTTAGGTAATGTTTGGGTGTTTTGGTCACTTGAAGCAATGACCTTAGTATCGCTGCTTTAGTAAAATGATTCATGCTTGTGTATTCAAAATTTTTAGCAGCATAATAATACAATTTTTTTTGTAGACCAAATATTCCATACATCTATGATTTGTCTAATTGTCACAGATAGGTTCAAAATCAAGTAAGGGCAACTTGGAATCCTGAGATCGAGGTTTTCTTGACACAATACAAATATGCCTTTTTTTTTTTTTTTTTTGAGACAGGGTCTTACTATGTAGTTTACAGTAGCCTGGAGCTTGCTGTGTAGCCTAGGCTTGCCTTCAACTCGTGGGGCTCGTCTTGCCTTGGCCTCCCAGATGCTGAGATCACAGCCATTCCTGGTGAAGCACCCTGTAATTTTCAACTTTCTATAGTAAATTTAAAATTTAGTTTTCAGAATTTCAGGTATTTACACGTTAACTAGGATACCTTCAAAAGAAAAGGGGGGTGTTAGTTCCTTTAAGATAATAAAGGACAGTGTTGTAGGTAAGTCTGATGGTTATGGAAATACTAAGCAACTCTTCAGATTGTTTTAAGAGTTGTTTTTCTTTTTCCTTACAGGACCTCTTTGTTTTTCGGCATGAATTGGCCATCATGAGGCTTGCTGCCTTCATGGGCATCACCATGTTAGTTGGAATAACGGGACTCTTCTATACACAGCTAATTGGCATCATCACTGTAAGTATGTTCTCCATGTAAAGTGGCACCGTATGAACATAATATGGAATGAGGGACTTAAAGTTATGGGAAATTTAGAAGTCAAAGGAGAAAATTACCCATCATACTTGTATGCACTTTCATGTGCCTATATAATTCTAAAGTAGTTCTAATCAGGTATGGAGTGTGTGTTGTTTTTTTTTTCACAGTACACAAGGCTTTCATACTGAGCCTGTTTTTTATTTGTTATCTTTTAAATTTTGAGACATGATCTCACTAAGTTGGGCTCAAAACTTGCTGTCCTTCTGTCTCAGCCTTTGAGAATGCTGGATGACAAGCATGTACAACCATACCTGGCATTGCTTGGTTTTTTTTAGGAAGATAGATGGACTTACTGATTTATTGATGTGCTAATTCAAAAGTGATTACAGTTATTTTTCTGGGATGTCAGAAAGGCTGATTGCTCCCATTTTATGTTCAATGCTGAAAACTCCTGAAATAATGTCTTTTTTTACATGAAAAATTGCAACACTTATAAATAATATTTACTTATTTTCCTTTTTTGTTATTACCTACATTGGATTTCTTATTTTTTCACACTGCCTAATTGGAACAGTTGTATCAAACCATGGAAGTATCATGTTAGGTGCTGGTCCCCTCAGAAGTGCACTTACTTCCTGAGCTTCGTAGTCAGTGTGACGCTGCAGGTATCTAGGCAGTGAGAGCTAGGATTGAAATGCACAGTCTTTCTTCATTGTTAGCAGTCATATCATTTTATCACAAAAGATTTTAAAAATCATATTAAGAAAGAATTAAAAACGTGATATACTGTATTACAGAAAATATAGGGCAGATGGGCTTTCTTGCACATTCACGGTGTGAGTGTAAACGAGTGTAACCTGGTTGCAGGCAGATGATCCACGTCTGCCTGTGAGGGATTGGTGCCGCGATGCCACGCAGAACCAAAGTCCGCATTGAGTGCTAGGTCCCTTAGGTAAAATGCTTAGTATTTGCACAATATCCCCTTGTATCCCTTAAATGATTTCAGCATCACTTATAATACCTAATGTACTATAATGTAAATGCATGTAAATAGTTGCTAAATGTATTGTGTAAGGAATGATGACAGGAAAACAGTCTGTAGATGGGTATTATTTTTGAAATAGTTTTGATCCACGTTTAGTTAAATCCATGAATGTGGACTCTGCGGATGAGTGGGACCCACTGTACCTAGACCACATGTATTGGTTTTACACAAATGTGCCAGCACTGTCGTGCTGGGACAACTAGATGTCCACATGTAAGAGAACTGAAGTTGAACCTCTTCACAGTGTATACAAACAGGAGGAAACTTTAGTGACCTTGGAGTTAGCAATGATAATATCTTAGATATGATACCAAAAGCACGCAGTACCAAAGAAAAAAATGGATAAATTGGACTTAATCAAACTGTAAACATTTGTGCTTCAAAGGACACTATCCAGAAAGTAGAAAGCCAGCTTAGAGAAGGAGAGATAATATCTGGAAATCACAGATCTGACTAGGGACTTTTATAACTAAGTAATAAAAAGACAACCTAATTCAAGTTTAGTCAAACGATTTATCTAAAGAAAATATACAGATGAATAGTAAGCACACAAAAATGTGCGGAACCTCGTTATCATAGAAATGCAAATCAAAACCATGATTACATGCTGCTTTAAAGCCACGTGAACAGCTGTAGTAAAAAAAGACAGTTGATAGCCAATCACTGGTGAGTATGCAAAAGAATCACGACCCTTATCCACTGCTAGTGGGAAGGTAAACTGTTAGAAAACTTCGGCATTTCTTCAAAGAGTTAAACGTAGAGCTAGCGTTAAACTGAGCAGTTGTACCCCTGTGTCCACACAGAAGCTCACCCATGAATATGGCAGCGTTATTCGTAGTAGACTAAAACGGAGTGCGTAAGCGCCTGAACTGCATGAGTACACAAAATGTGGTATAGCTGTACAACAGAATGTTATGTGTTCATGAAAATACAAAGGAAATGAAGGACCGATGCTTGCTGCAGCACGGGTGAATCTGGCAGGCACGCGGCGCACTGGCTGAAAAAGACCACTGTATGGTTCCATTAAAAGAAGCGTGCAGCGTAGGGAGATCTGTAGACAGAAGGTAGATGTGTGCTTGTCCAGTGCGGGGGCGCTAAGGGTAGTAACTGAGGGGTGCGGGGCAGGTTGGTTGGTTTTAGTGGGATGAAGAACGTAGGGTAGAAGGGGAAGTACTGTGTTACATGAGAGTGGTTCATCTTTCTTACAACACCTGTCGGACCTCTTACTCAGGTGACTGTACCATTTTGCTTTCCTGCCACTGCATGAGGATTGCTTCAGCGCTTCATTATCTTTATTTGTTGTTAGTCTTTTTGATTGTAGCTGTTCTGGTGGTTTTTAATGGTATCTTGTTGTAACTTGTATTTCCCTGATGAGTAATAATTTTAAACCCTGCTTATTGGCTGTTTATGGATGTATGAAATATGTTTAAATATATATTTCTTACTAATTCAGTTTGAAATATTTTCTAATGTCCTTGTGACTTCTTTAATAATGAAGACAAACAGGATGGTATTGGTAACAATGCTAAGGTTGAGAGTTTTCCACTAAAAACTTTTTTCTATTTTTATGCTCATTCTTAATTACTTTGTGATAATGAATTTAATCCAGTTTATAAGTCACATCAAAATTGCCAGATTATGCCTGCATGTTTTGAATTTATCAAAATCATTGATGCAAACTTATATACTGGGTTACTAGAAGATTTTTCAGATTTCCCCAAATTCCTCCTCTTAATGGAAGTGGACATTTCAGAACATCACAGCTAAGAGCGCATGGTACCTAGTGAGGGCGGTCAGGGCTGTACAGCTGAGCGCAGCAGTCTCCTTCCCACCTGGCTGCCCGCTGTCCTCGGAAAGTTAAAGTTTTAAGATCTTCTAAGTATCCCTAATCTAAAATTTTAGTGTTCTCCTGTGACTTAGACATAATAAGCAATTTATTGTTATTTTTGTTGGTTTTAAAAGAATGTGCTATGTACTGCATTCTGACTGCTTCATTCAGCCAACATGTTAATATTCTCAAATTGTATCTTCCTTCTTGTTGTAATATGGACCAGCATGTCATTGTATAAACGGAGATGTAGTTCTGACGTGATTCTTCTAAAGCTGAGTAGAAGCCACATTTGTGAAATGATGCTGTCCAAAGATTTCACTTCTTTTGTATACATAAAGCACCCTTTTGGAACGCTCTGTACTAGGTGGGGTTATAGCTATAGAAACTGGACATCTGTAAACCATTTAGAAAAGAGTACAAGTATTAGGAAAGAGAGAGCATGAACATACCTGTTAGTCAGGTCTTTAGTCACTGTACTTTCTCTTGAATACAAATAACAAAAATTACTAACAGTTTTAATTGCATTTGCCTGGACTTTCGTAGAGAGCCTCAAGTATTTTTGAATTAAATAACAATAGTGATAATAATGATAATAACAATGATAATAATAGGTTTCCAGAATGACTCCTTTCTGCATTGATTCAGTTATTTCAGGCTTGGTTGTTGAACGTTTTGTACTCAGTGTATAATTTTTAAATCTAAGGAATTAGCATCTAAGTAAAATAGTGTTTAATATTTTGATTAAAGTTAATGATATTTTTGTTTCATTTTTATGATGAAACTAAGATTACCTGCCCAAAATTTCACATCTGGGCATGTTTTTGCTATAATCTGAATTCAGTCAACTCTCTGAAGTGTGAGGAAAGTGTTGGATTTGTCAGGTAATACTGTATAAAAAAGAAAGGAGAAGGAATCAGTAAATTTAATCACTGCATGGAGTCTTTCTCTTTTCCTAACCTGTGTACCCCAGAGATCCAAGAGGTGTTTTGGGAAAACACTGGTGAGGATGTCATTCCTTACCTCTACTGTCACATACTATAAACTTTTCAATGGCATAGCTTAATTACAGGCCAGTGAGAGAAGAAATAAAACAAATGCTATCCCTGAAAAACAGGAGGTTTCAGGGAGGCAGAATACCAGATTGATAGTGGAAGGTAACAGGATAACCATAGTAGTGATAATCAGATGTCATTTTAGACCTATCAAGAGTAGATTATCTGTGACCCAGATAAAATAATTGGAATTACTTAAACTTAAAAGTAGTGGATTTCTAATCTCATTTCCAAGGTTAAAAGATCTCAACACAACCAGATGTTTGTATTAGACTAATCTGAAGTCCATTTCTAAAGGATTACTTTATTTTTAGATTTAATTTTGAACAAAATTTAAATACACATTTGTGCATTTTTACTACAATTAATATTAGTGTTAAATGTTTTTAAAATAAATCTGCTTTGTGATGTTCTTACTTAGAGAATCAGGTTATTCTAACTGTTCCTTACTTAGACCATTTATTCCTTTTTTCCTTTGCTGTTCCTAAGTGAAATCGTGATGTTGTTATTAATGTAATAGATGTTTCAGGATTATTGAGTGGTAGTTCACACAGCCAAGAATAATGCTTATTCTGGTGAGCACTGGTCCTAACAGATCTGGGTGATTGTATTAGTCATGTTTTCAGGGACTGGGCTTGGAGAGAGTTAATCAAGAAGTGCTGTAACAGCTGGTCCAGCACATTCTGTGAGGTTCTGACAGCGAGCTATTGTTTACCATGACACTCCTCTGACAGTTTATCTAAATTTTGTATACACGCATTTTTGTTTCCTGGGCACTGTGGAGTTTATGTAATGGCATAATCTTTTGATGCTGTCTCTGGAGCTTAGTGCTTTTTCAGTTGTGTTAGTTTGTCAGTATGGTGAGGAAGATTATTTAGTTGCAGTTTTGTAAAAGGGTTTAATTTCACAAAGAAAAAATTAGCTAGGTTTTTCATTAGATTTCGCACATACTATGTTGTATTCTGTTTGAATTACCAAAAATAGCTTAAAACAAAACTTTCAAATTAAAAGAGAAAATCCTCCCTGCCTGAGTACACTGGCTCATGTTTAA